CTCCGACTTTAGAGCGTCATCTGTGATTCGAGACATGGAAGCGATTGTAAGTTCGTCTGAACCACTACGGCATTATTTCTTCTTAAACTATATGAAGCCAAAAAACTAGCTTTTGCTAGAAAACTAGCATATCATTAATAATTATGTTTAAAGCAAATGAGTTAGGAGAACCGGATGCACTGCAAATAATTAGCACGTGAGGATGGTCAGGTCGGTTAGTTGGGCATCAAGTTATTCGGTAGATAAAAACTTTTCCAGTTTGGATAAGCAATGCACGCATCATCACCTGCTTTCAGTAATAGATGGGCGGCAAATATGAATATAGTATTCTAAAGCCAAAAATTCTGTTGGAAAATTATATTGCGAATTTGAGTGAGCTTTAAGTACACAAGGTCTCGATGATCCAACCTGAACATCTACGTTAATTAAATAAAATTCAAACCAAAGGACTACGTTGTAGCTGAAAGTGCAGTAGAGTATGCACTTCTGAGCTTCTGTGGTAGACACGACTACGTCGATGTCGTGAGCCTTTTAGTGGTACACTACTACAATTACTGACGCTTTAATGACAAGGGCTTAGAGATCATATGGCCTCATATCTCAGCCTGATCTAAGGAAAGGGCAGAACAGCTGGAGGCTACCGTACGTATTAATCCACGAAGAGGCCCTAATGAAACTTTTACATCATGTCTAGTACACTGTAAATTCAAAACAGCCACTCATGAACTAAATGAACGGAAGATCCGAATGATGCTGGATGGACCACATCAAGAAATAGAATTAATGAGAACAATTCCATTAATATATATTGAGACTTAAAAGTCCCTACCGACAGAGGGTGATACTATTTTTCAACAGATATACAGCTAAATCACTTCAGTCTATTTTGCACTGTTCCCAGTTTTTACAATTATTGATTAGCATTTGTTTGTGTGGTACAAACGTGCAACAGAATCTTTGATCAAAACCAGTCACTAAAGTCCAGTCATTTTCGAAACTTCATTCCCTGTAGTAGACTGCAAGAGACATGAAATTTCATCACCCGGGATAGGCATAGCTAATGACTCATAATCATTTCGATTAGGTTTGTAGTCTGCGGTCTTCTCTAATCAGCTTTGCCTCAAAAATCGGAGGAAACTGTCCTGACGACGTTCCTCATTTATGGTGTTAAATATGACATTAATGGCACGCTAACAAAAAAAATATTCTAAAAGAGGACATATATAGAATTGGTGCGGTTTTAGCACACAGGACAAACTCAGGTGCATATGGCGGCATTTCAAGACAAGGAAGTCATAACAACGATAGTCACTTGCAATATTACAATTGCTAATTCGGTCAAGCGACAGGTAATCGATGGGAAAAGAGCGATGTCTGTGAAGCGATGCGTGATTTGTCGCAACCACCGTATAGAAAGGTTCTTTATTTTGTGTCCAATAGACCTAGCAATTCTTTTGCAGTGCTTTGAAACAATTTTAGCAGTTGTTTTTTGACCGCTTTGGAATTACAAGTAGAATTAAGAAAACGCAGCAACGTCGCAGACGAAATCATTTCCGGTGCAGTTCTTTTGCAACGAGGCTAACTTATTAATTTATGCGGAAAACGAAAGGGTGGTGCATTTTTGAGTATGTGCCTTTTTGAGTATGCGACCGCCGGGTGGCACTGGTGACTCCTTGTCGAAATTACGACATGGTCGACACAGGGTGGAATCGACGGAGCTCTTTGTGGAAGCGTAATTGTTTGTGAAAAGGGAATCGAGCAGCTGGTAACCAGAAGAAACGAATAAAAGGGCGAGTTCGACTGCAAAGAGTCTTATGGCGGCGTTGTTTCCGTCGTTTGTAAGTCATGTCGTCACACGTGCAAAAAGTTGCGAGGTACCAAAGAGTGCTTGCAACTGAAAACAAACATTCACATGAAATACCTGATAAGAGGAGAACACCGAGCAGCAAAACGAGACAACGGTGGGACAACGGCGGCGGAGGAGGCGTCGAGGACGACGGCATGTTCTCGGGTCCGGCCGGCCTTCCTAGGAAGTCAGTACTGTTAATTTTTGGCGACGACGACGGCGGCAGCGACGGCAATTATTCACGCACGACCCGACC